CTGCGCCCCGCCTGCCAGCGCCGGCTCCATCGCTTCGCCCTGCCGCCACCCTGGCTGCCTATCTGGCCCCTCCAGCCGGCTGGCCTCCCTATCTGCCCGCCCGCCCACCTCCCGGCCCGGGCTGGGTCCCCGGGGGCTCGCCGGTCCCGGGAAGCTGCTGCGCCGGGGAGTCCGGCGCTCTCCTCCGGCTCTTTGTCCGCGCCTCCCGGTCGTGGGCTTTGGAAAGGGGCTGGGGCCGAGGCGCTCTTGGGGGGATGCTACCCCGGGGAGAATCCGCGCCCTCCCCATCCCAGCCTTCCTTCTGGGCGCGCCCAGGGCGGGCTCGGGCGGCCACAGGTGAGGGCAGGGGCCTAGCAGTCTGGGGCGCCACCCCCAGCCGGCGCCCCGCACCCCGAAGCCAAGGCCGGAGGGAGAACCCGCCGGGCCGGGGCCGGGGCCGGGGCCGGGCGGGCGGGAGGGGGCTTGCCCAGAGGGCCGGGAAGGGCGGGGGCCGGCCCGGGGGCGGGGAAGGGGCGGATACCTGGGGCCGCGGTACTTTTCCACGGCGGGGGCGGGGGCGGGACCGCAGCCTCTGCACCAGCGGAGAGGCCCACACGTGGTGGCTGATGTAACGCCCGCCCCTCTCTCCCCCTCGCACCCCGATTAGAGCGGACGCACCCCGCTTCGAGGAATCGGGGCGCTCCGGATGGTGCCGCAGCCCCCAGAGCGACCGCACCCCAGCCTGCCGGCCGGGGCCTCCTGGCAGGCTGCGGGCCGCTTCTTAAAGGAGCCGCGCCTACTTTCGTCCAGCTCTCCGCAGGCCACGCCCTCTCGTGGGTCTCTCTTAAAGGAGCCGCAGCCCCGGCTCTCTCTGACAGCTTCCGCACAAAGCCTGGGTCTATGTCTTTGCAGAACCAAGCCGGATGCTGCTGTGGGCAGCTAAATAAAAACTGGAGGTTGGGGAGGTGTCAAGGAGTGGAGGAGAGAAGGACCTATTAAAGACTTCTAAAGGGAGGGACCATCAGAATCTGGTTGGGGAGAAGTGGGTGAGGGGCTGGTTCCAGGAAGGGACGAATGAGCGACACTGAGCATGCCCAAATATTTACAAGGACTGCAGAGAAAACGCCCCCTTACTTGGCCTGCACTGCGACTGCGGCGGGCGGCACCGCTGTGCCCAGCCCTGGGGACGGAAGAATCCCAGCATTGCCCTGGACGATCGCTCCCGCTGGCGGGGCGCCAGCTTCGGACACAAGTAACTGTGCTGCTACACTGTGTGTGACGAGAGTGTTAATCAGATGTACACAGCGTGCTTTGGCGGTTCCGTGGAAAGGATGACTGCAATGGGAGGAGGAAAAAAAAGGGGAGGGGGGGCTCTTTGAAGATAGTGACAATGGGACAGGTTTTGAAAATGGATCGGATATATACAGGTGGAAATGGAAAGATACTCAAGGCATGGTGGCAAGAAACCGCTGGGAATGAGGAATAGTCGCACAGGCCGCAGGTGGCCCTGGATAACCAGCCTGGACCCGAGGCAGAACCGAGGGCCCTTCCCTGCTCCCACAGCCCCTCCACTCCCTTCATCAAAGAGAATGGAGATTATGCTCCCTCCCTTTAAAGGGTGAGGTCCTTGAAAACAGAGAAAGAACCTGACTCTTTTCCTTTCCCAGGGAGGACTCCAGGGCTTGGCCTGAATGGACCCTTAAAATGGACGGACTTGACAATAAGGTTTGGGAGAGAGGAAAGACTGAGCCATGAGACTAAAGGCAACCAGGTCCTGTGACTGCCCTCTCACCAGGCACCATTGGGTGGCTCACAGGCAACTCATTTTGCCCAACCCAGCCCATTCTCTCCCCACCCCAGACCTGTAGCATTCCTGTCTCCGGGACTGGCATTGGCTTTTTCCTGTTGCACCAGCAAAAACCAAAGGCCCTGCCTTATCCCTCACTCCCAATATCCCAGTTCATCACTAATTCCTACCAATGTCATCTTCCATATCCTTCTCAAATCTGTATTCCTTTCCCCACCTGAGCATGACTTTCATACCCAACAGATCTCATCTCTGGCCTGGCCTATCCCTAATTGATTTCTTCTGTGCCATTCTCTCTTCCTACCTCTCCTTTCTCCACACTGTATCTGTGGTGATGTGTTGAGAATGTATATTCCACCAATCGCTCCTCTACACCTACAATTCTGCTTCAAAGCCCAGAATAGCTGCCATGGCCCTCTGGTTAAAGACTAAAATATCTAGGCCCCAATGGCCCTGACCTTGCTCCTCTGTCCCTGCTCATGTTTGGCCACTTCCTCCCTGGCTATCTGAGCCCCAGCCTCAGTGTCTTTCCTATGTTATTTCATTTGCTTAACTACTTCTTCCTCTTCCTCTCCTCGCCACTTTGCCTCATTAACTCCTTCTGACTCTCAAATATCATTTCCTTGGGAAGCCTTCTGTGGCTCTCGGACAGGCCAGGACCCTCTGCTTTAAGGATCTTTCTCCTTCACTCCCTTTATCTCCCTCTTTAATGATCTACATTGGAGACACCAGGTTTCCCTCATCCCCCCTATCCTGTAAGCCGCAGGAAGGCAGAGACCCATGGGTGCCTGGTGCCAGCACAGGTCTGGCCCAGAGCAAGCCTGAAATAAATATTTGTGGAATAAATGAATTGAATTGTGGCCAGCCTCAAATGACTGATAAACAATTTAGGCCATATCCGGTTGGCTGGGGAGGACTATTGGAGAAAATCAGAGCTTTGGGGCTGTGGGAATATTTATGGATTGGATGGGGAGGAAAATGTGAAGGACTTGCAGTCAAGTACAAAAATGAAGCAGAAACTTCAGAATGTATAAAGGATTGTTGGCCCCGTCTTCCAAGCTGAGAATACTGGGCTCGGAGGGGTGAAGGAACTTGCTTGAAGCCATATACCTAGTGAGTGGCAGAGCCGGAATCCCAGCCCAGGGAAACCCTGTCCCAGAGCCCTCTTCGTGGTCTGCCGAACTTCAGACTTCCTGCTGGTCAGTGGTGACCCCTCTACGGGTTAGGGGTAGGTCCCATGGTGTCCGGGTAATGTGAGTCTCCAACATCTGGAAGGGACCTGGCATGTCATGGGCATTCAGTCGGTCCTTTTGGAATGGGTGTATGGGACCATTTAATATAAACGGCAGAGATGGAGAAGTAAGCAAAACTTTTCACCCAACTCATCCTATTGCAGCCATCGTTAATCTGTCAGCACCCCGAGGACATGGACTGTGTTTGCAATCAGTACTCTGGATTACTCCCGGTGAGGACAATCCCAGGAGTGTCCTCAATGTACTCACCTGCCCTCAAGGCATAATTCCCAACCCGTGAGATGGTTCTTAGTGCCATCTGCTGCTATGGCTGTCATCACTCATTGTTATGATTTGTTGGCTGAAGCGGGGCAGCTTTGGGAAGGCCAATGTAGAACTTACAGCTTGGAGGAAGGGGTGTAGTGAGTGAGGAGGACGAGGGTGTGATTTTAAAGGAGTACACACCCACCCTCCTGACTTGTCCCCAGAAGACCAAAGTCAGGAGCAGAGGCCTCTTTAGGAGGAGTCAGAGAGGCCAGTCTAGTTGACTCAAAAAAGGAGAAAATGGTGATAAGTTACATTCACCCTTGCCACAGGCTATGCAGGAGACCTCGCGGCCAGGGCAAAGGCTTAAAGAAGCCAAGGCTGATTTTCATATGCAAATAGCTTTTCCCTTGCTCTCTTACCCTTCCAACGACTTCCTGGGCCTTTGGGTGAGAGGTGGCCCAACCCTTCCTGGGATCAGGCCCTGTGAAGGCTGACCGTCCTTATCCATCTGACCCAGGATTTTCTTCCTATGAGAGAATTCTTGGAGTCTTCCTGAAGGTTGTTGATTCATCTCCTGTGGAATCCTCAGGTGGATTCCTCTCCCGTGGCCTGTCAAAACCTGCCCCCTCCATCCTCTGCACCTAACATTAAACCTGTACACACCTGCACGGTCCGTGTCTGCTCCTTCCTTTTCTCTGCTGCCCATCCAGCCCCACCTCGCCTCTCAGATGCTTCCTACAAGATCTTGGCTGACCTGGGCCATCATCCCAGTGCCTGGGCCTTACCCATGTCCCTTCCATGCAACTCACCCTTCCGCAAGCCCAGCACTGTGCTAAGTGCTGGGCACAGAGGGGTAAATAAAACTCAGACTCAAGCCCTCAGGCAACTCCCTGATTCACGGTTGACTGACTTCAAAGTAAATTCTCTTCTGAGTTGATAAGGACACCAGTGGGTGTCTGCACCAAACACAAACCAAGCAGGAAGCAATCTGTTTATTTTGGTTGAGGGACAGGCTACAGAGAAAAGGATTTGAAGAACCTCACCTGGTGAACAGTGGGGAAGGTGTTGCAGAGGAGACAGCCTGCAAAAGGGCAGGGAAGCGTGCCCGCACATGGCATGTGTGATGAGTCCGGAGCTTACGGTCTCAGTTAGTGACATAACAACAAGCCCAGCTGTCCCGGAGCCACGCTGAGTGGCATCAGGCGGAGGAAAGACCGTCCTGGCTGCTGAGTGCGCTGATCCAAACTGACCCCTCTTCGGGGAAAAGGTTGAAGCCATCCACAGACGATGAAGGGATTGGACCCTGTCCAGTTTTGTGTTCTTTGTCTTTTATAGAATTGGGCATCTGGAGAATTAAAAATAGACTTTTGCCCCCTTGGGACAAGAAGCCCGGAGACTAAGGGATGCAGGGGAAGGGTCGGGAGAAGAGCTAGGGAGGAGCTGGTTCAGGGTCATCGAGAAAAGAGCAAGATGAGAAGCGCTTGGCATGAGGTAGCTGGGGTCGGAGGGAAGGGAGGTCTGCCAGCTGGTGATCTGGGCCCTGCACTACCCGCTCTGGAGAGCCCCGAGGGCCACACAGGCCCTGTCCTGCCTGCGTGGCTCAGTCCTCACTCTGTGCTCTCTCCACAGCTCTTGAGGTCTGTGGCCTGAAAGGTGCTAGAAGCAGAGCCTGTGATTGTGCCCTGGGACTCCAGAGTCCGAAAGCCACTGCCACCATGGTGGGGAAAGGTGCCAAAGGGATGCTGGTGAGTACAAGGACCGGACTGCAGGGAGCAGGGGGACATGAGCACTGCCTTTCCTCCACCCTGCGCGACCCCCCCCCCCACCTCCACCCCTTCTGCCAGCTGCTTGCCGTATAATAGGAGAGCCTAGGAGGCTCCGTGGGGCCCAAGTCTGGCACTGCCAGGGCTCCTGCGAGCTAAGTTGTCTCAGGCACTGGCAGGCAGCCCCTCCCTTGGCTGTTAATTGGCACCGCAGCTCTCAACCCACCCATAGCAGGGCAGATTCTGCCTCAGAGCCCGCGAGGAGGCAGAAGGCCCATTTCCGGCCCTTTCACCAGAGTCACCCTGGAGAAGGCTGTGGGTCATCCTGCTGGGAGGACAGCAGAACCACTGGGCTGTCCTGGGGATGGGACACCCCCACCCGACCTTCACCCCCACCGTGCTCTGCCTGCCACAAGGAGTGTTTACTGTAAATGTGCTGATCAAGGGGTCCTCTGGCCTGGTTGGTTTTCCTGTTCATTTCGCTTATTGGAGTTTCCCAAACTTTTGACATATGTGTACCCTTCTATAATTTTCGAAACGCTGAGTACCCCTCGTTCTCATGAGAACGTAGAATTAGGCACAGCTAAGCACGGTGCAATGCATATCCCCACCAAACTCTGGTGCAACGCGTACCCCCACCTCTTCCCGTACCCCTGGGGGTACGCGTACCACACTTTGGAAAACACGGGCTTAAGTCCTCTCCTGAGGCCTCTCAGAAAACCTCCCTCTCCCCCTTCCCCAAGCCATGGTCCTTCCTTGCCCGCTGCCACAGAGCACCGGAGAGGTGGTGGTGAGGTGCCTTGAGAAGCAGAGGGCGAGAGCAGGGGCCAGTGAGGGCTTCCGCTCATGCTGATGGCCGAGGAGGGTGGCACTGGCAGCAGGAACCAGGGAAGAGATGCCAGGTCCTACCCCAAGGGCAGAGCTTGTATTTCTTCTCTCTTGGGATCTTGCCTCAGGGACAAGCGAGACTGGGGTGCTGTCTGGGGAGGAAGCTAGTGACTGAGCATGGCCTCTCCTTCCTTAGTGCCTCCCTTTCCCACATCAATTCTTTCTGCTGCTTTTTCTCATTCAGTTGAGTATTAATAGGCCAAGGGTCTCTGTTAAGCCTTCCCAAAACAAGCCATCTGTCGACAAAGATTTCTGGGAGTCAATCAACCTGGTAAAAAAAAAATGGCTAGGTGTGTCCTAAGAAACATCCAGACCTGTAGATAATTTTTATGAGTTTATTTGGGCCAAACTGACAAAAATTTACGGGAAGAGAAACCTCAGTGGATGGGAAAAGTATTCTGGAGAATGGCAGTTTTGCAGCTTATTTTATACATTATAACCAAAGGAGATGATGTACGGGGCTTTCCATGAAATGCATTGGTGATAGATTAGGGGGGGCTGGGGAAGCAAAGCGGAAGGGATAAAGAGTAACACAGAGTTGGGCACAGGATAGTTAACAGTTAACATGTACAGCACACAGAGATGGTGTCTGGGAATCTGTGGTTTTTGTGCTCTGGTGTGAATGGTTGTGCCCTGAGGGACCTGGGAAAGGGGATTACTCTGACATTTCAAAGGTATGTCAGCTTAGACACACACACACAAAAAAAACAATGGACAGCTTCCCGTAAGGTCAAGATTGACCTTTGTCAAGGTGTTGTGGGCAACAGGTGTTAGACCAGTGGAGTCAGATAAGAGTTGGGTTCAGCAACCTCAGTACTTGAGTTCTAGCAAAGAAAGAATTCAGAGGCAAGACTCAAACTATACGAGAGCATTTTTATTGATAAAATCAGAGGTAGAAGAAGTAATTCATATAGAAGAAATGGGCTGAGGAAAGTGAGGAAAGTAATGACAATGGTAATGGTAATGGTAATGGTGATGGTAATGGTAATGGTGATGGTAATGGTGATGGTAATGGTAATGATAATGGTGATGGTAATGAAGGGAGGGGGGAGCCCAAGGGAGGAGGGGGAAGGTAAAGTGTAGGCTTGCTCCTGGGAGGGACAGCCATGGATCCTCTGTCTTTGGGGTGTTAAGGGAGGAGAGTGTAGGGGAGGTCCCAGGGGAAGATCTCAGTAGAATACTCAGCAGCTCTCCAGGTGTGTCCTTTCAGGGACTGGGTCTCCACGGATAGATTGGCTGGCACCAGAGCAGGGGGTCTTTACCCAGTGCAGCTGGTCCTGAGGTCAGCCTTGGCATTGCTTGGCTGGGTTTGTTGCTTTTCTGGACCTGGAGCTAAACACAGCTGAGGCCTAGATACTGTCTCTAGGGAGGAAAGGTCACCTGGGTGGTGAGGTCTCATCCTACAATCGTTCTTTGCTAGGCACCCAAGGCTTTCCCCCTGGTGACCTTTTGTAATCTGGCCCATCACTCTTACTCACCTCATGTCTGTCTAACTGCTTACCTCAAAGGAAGCTTTTAGTTAGGAATATTTTAAAAATACGTTTTTATTTACTTCAGAGAGGAAGGGAGAGGGAGATAGAGAGGAACATCAATGATGAGGGAGAATCACCAGTCGGCTGCCTCCTGCATGCTCCACATGGGATCGAGCTTGCAACCCGGACCTATGCTCTTGACTGGAATCAAACCCAGGACCCTTCAGTCCGCAGGCCGACACTCTATCCACTGAGCCAAACCAGCCGGGGCTAATTAGGAATTTTTATGTTCAGACCATCCTTATATGGTTACTTTCACGCCTCCCCTGAGCTTGTCAGGTTTACTGTGTGGCCCCTTTTTTGTGTATGGTGGTTCTGCTCCAGGCTCAGGGCCCTCCATCCTGCCTCTCAGGCCCGCTCTGATCTAGCCCCCTCCTGGTTGGAACAAGTCTGAATGAACCAAGCTCCTGAACGTATTTCTGAGCTATCCTGAACTCTGGGTGCTCGGCGATGGGCTGAGATGGAGGCCTCAGGACCTGCACACTAGCTAGGGGGTGGGTTTTGTGATAGAACCAAGAAAGGCCTCCATCCACTTTCCCAGAGAAGTCCTGGAATTGCCATGGGCCTGTCTAGGAACGTGGAGATTCTGAGCCCCATGAAACCTAAGAAACCCTCTGCGTACTCCCTGGCTGCCCTTCTTTCTCTGGAGTGACCCTGGGAGGGCCGAGGCAATCAGGCAGGAGAGATGTGGGACCCGCCGTGGGCCATAGGGAGCATGAATCACCATGTCCGAGAACCCTTGCCAGAACTGAGCTTCCCGGGGCCGCCGGCCAGCCTGCCTGGGGAAGGGAATGCTGCTCTGGGACTCCGTTCCCAGCACCAGGATGTGCCTAAAGATAGCTGGGGCTCGGCTTCCTCGTGCCCTCTGCCCTTTGACTTCTGCCCGCTGCTGCTTCGTCTCAGGCTCAGAGCATACGTCCCCTGGGCACCCCTGTGGTTGCTGAAATTCTATTCCTGCCTCTTTTTTCAGTTCTGCTGGTGACCTTGGGCTGCGCTCTTTGGCTAGTCTCGGGCCCTCGTTTGGAACGGAGGCCTCCTCCATTCAGTGCCGATCCCTGGGAGATAGCCTCTGAGGAGTGCCACCTCTGCTAGCTGACCGAGGTAGCTGAGGCAGCACTTGATCAGGTGCTTGTTCCCCTGAGGGCACGTGGCTAAGGATGCACCTTTCAGACATCCCCCTCCTCTGGATGTCATGGAGGGGCAGGACCCAGGGCACTGAGGGCATCCTGGTCAGTGGTTTCTGCTGCCATCTGTGCCCGGTGCACAGGGAGCGGGCCTCCCTGTGAGGAGGTGTCCTCATTTCCATCCACCTTTTTGTCTCTTGTTGTTGTTGTTGTTGGTGTCCTCATTTCCATCCACCTTTTTATCTCTTGTTGTTGTTGGTGGTGGTGGTGGTGGTGGTGGTGGGAATCGGAGGATATTTTTCCTTTGATTTTTAGAGAGAGTGGAAGGGAGGGGGAGAGACCGAGAGAGAAAAACATTGATGTGAGAGAGACACATCATTTGGTTGCCTCCCACAGGGCTGGGGATCGAGCCTGCAAGTGAGGTATGAAGTAGATGTCCTTGATCAAAACAGAGACCGGGACCGTTCAGGTTGCAAGCTGATGCTCTATCCACTGAGCCAAACCGACGAGGGCTCCATCCCCTTGGGCTCTAGATTTGGGTGTGAGGACATGGGACCGCTGGGTCTCTTCAGGGTCCACAGACATCCCGTGACCCCCTTGGAGCTTCTGCCTGGCTCTTCATGTGGCCAGTGCCCCACGGAGGAGCAAGCTGCTTCCTAGCACGTGCCCAGGCCCACATGCCTGCTGCACGTGTCCCTGCCCCCACTCCCAGCCCAGATGGTCTCTGCCAGGCCAGTTCAGCTGCCTCCCTCACGCCTCAGCAGCTCCCAGGACAGGGCCCTGCAGGAACCCAGCTGGCCAGGGTGCCTCCAAGCCTGGGAGCAGCTGGGGTGCTTAAGGGCAGTGGGGACCTCATAGAGACCTCATACCTCTGTACACGTGGTGGGGAGGGGGGGTGACTGGGGCTCAGAGGACAGAGCTGGAGGAGTGAAAGCTAGGACACAAGAGCCCCCCGGGTCAGCTTTAACCCTGCTGCCTCACACCAAGTACACAGGTTGGCGGCCCAGGATCTCCCCCATTCATACAGTGTCTTGGGCAGCAGAGATCTTGGGGAGCCTCTTCGGTGTCTCCCCAGAACTCACTGGTTGCTTCTGTCCTGGGACAAATAAGAGCAGCGTCACCGGGGCCACAGCCCTAGATGCCAGAGCATCTAAATTCTCCCAGAAGGCTTTGCAAGCACCACAGATTGCCTGGGTCTGCTCCACCCTGTTCTGCTTTGACATGAAAGTTTGGATACCTCTTGTCTGCAGGATCCATCCCAGGGCCTGGCACATGGTGCATACTCACCCAGCCCAAGTCCCGGCATGTGACAAGTGCTCAACCAGCATAGGCCTGGCCACTCCCTTGGTAGAAGGCTGTTGCCTACTAAGCACTCACCTAGCACGAGTCCCAGCATGTGGCAAGTGCTTGGCTAGTACTGACTTGGCACACATCGGCC